CAAAAAATCTCCCCTAGAACAATGTAAACCAAGAGTGTTAAAATGGGAACATATGTCCCTCTCCAAATGTTTCCCATTGCTAGTATTCTAATATTGACAGGTCTGCTTCAAGAACATAAAAGAGGTCTCATGCGGGGCAAACTTTTTTTTATGGTGTAGTTTATCATCATCCTCATGGGGAAAATTTCACAGGGGACAAGAAACTCCATAAGAGTCCAGTCACAAAGTTTTCAGCCAATCATCCCATCTTGGACATCCATCAAAGGTCAGGATCATCCATACAGAGGCTGAGGGCCCCATACTTTTTCCTGATCCCCAGACATATTTCAGTCCCTGTAACACTCCCTGCTGGCTGCAACCCTCACCCCATTCCCTTCTGGGATAAAACAATGGGCGGGAAAAGTTTAAACGTAGTGGAGGAACAAAACAAGTCAGCATGACTTTCCTTGGGTAATTCCGGTGTGGTTCTGGGAAAGGACAGCATGGTCCATGGAATCTCCCTAGTCCTGTTCCTCCTGACTCGCAGAGTCCAACCCCTGTAGCACATCCATAGAGGTAGAGGACCTTCATAGGGCTTAGGAAGGGACAAGGTCAGACCGCCAGCACTCTCCTGCCACCCCCTTCAGAAGTGAAAGAGTATCTAGTCAGATGTGTGGGGGATAAGCCCACTCAAACACCACCTCCTGTTTATATCTTTCCTTGAACATCGAGCACATAAAGTTTAAGTAAACCAAAAACCAAACAGCAATGTCTGCAAAGACACCCTCCCCCCAACACAGACACACACTATGTGCACCTATTTACAGTGTTGGCTTCCACACAAAGTTTATATAGGATAGAATATCAATAATGTGACTGGCTGTGAAACCGAGAGAGGACAACCCCACTCCAAACTGATTTATTTAAAAAAAAGAATGTGTTAAATTTCTCTCTTTTAATAGAATACCCACCATATATTATGGGGTTAAAACAGCAGCATTTCATGGATTTTAATAATTTTACTTTATGTTGCTTTGCCTAGTTTTACCATTTCTGGAATTTATAAGTTGTTTTATTTTGTTTTGCTTAGAAATTGTTAATGAAACCTGTTGGGTATACAGGTCATAATTCTTATGTTACTACTTAGGCTGATATATACCAAAGCTAAAGTGTTTTGCTCGTCTGGTCTCATGAGAAACATCTTATTTCTGGGAAAATCCCATGGAGGGCATACAACATTCATTCACTCCAGCAGACAGCACAGACAATATAAGGCAAGAGACTCAATCTAAACTAGACAGCATCATTAAGCTGTCCCCATTTCAGATCATTTTATATTGACAAGGCTTCTTTTTTAAAAAAAAGTTTTATTTTTTAAGAAACCCTATGTAGGTGCCTGATGCAATAAAAACAAAGTAGGAACCATGAGCCTCTGTCCCCTCCCCTTCTGTGCTACAGAAAAGGAGGGTATCAGGGTTTTGTTTTGTTTTTTAAACTATAATAGGAGGATTGTTAAAAGTTGCTGAGTTGGTCCCCCCCCCGCCCCCCAAAAAAATGCTGCCTAAATCTCTTTCTGGCAGTTATTTCAGTGAGACTCTGTCCTTCCCCAGTGCAAACAGTAGCTAACCTGCTGCGGGTTTCCCAGGTAGACTCAATGACTCTCACACACCCCACCTGTATGGAAAGGAACAAACACCCTCAGTGCCAGGCAAGGGACCGTCCACATTTCCTACATGATCCAACAATCCGAGGACAGGGCTGTGGCCCAGCCTGCTTCACCAGGTCAGCACGGAGGAAGGTGCAGGGGCATTTTGCTTTAGAGCCAACAAAGCAAATAGCCAGAATACTAAATGTAAAGGCTGTCAACAACACATACCGCTTGCTTGCAACTGTTTGGGAAGTGTCACCAGTCCCCTAACCTTTCATGTGACAACTGCAGCAACAACTCTGACATTTCCCTTCCTCTACACACCTGTTCCGGGCTGTTCCCCGCCTATGGCTCAGCCCAACCTTTGCATAGTTACCTGATCCTGCCAAGTTCGGCGGAAACCGACAAGCCTTTTCCTTCTAAACTTATCCTGCCCTCTTCCCCCATATTAATTAAATCAGGTCTGTAGCACCATAAATTTACACACCACTTTATAGGAAAATGTGACTGATTCATGGTAACTTGGCTTTTATACCGATTAATACTCCCGGAGCCCCCACACTCAATTACTTGCAGCCGCTTCTCCCACATCAGCCTTTTAGAGGTTTGCTTTTAGAGATCATAAACCGTCACCCATAAACAGTGTCACCACGACGGTCCTGCAGAAACGGCCTGGGGGGGGGGCAGCAGAGAAGAGGAAGGGGCTGCTGGGACGGGGTGGGGGAGCCATGCAGTGCACTGGGAGATGGCCCTGCAGAATGGGGTGGGTGGAGAGATGTAGGGGCGAAGGGGCAATAAACTGGGTGAGCGGGGGAGGGAACGGCATGGAGGGTATTACAGGCGGGGGGCATGGTCCAGCTAACAGCAGCGAGCCTGCGGCTGGCGTGGAGGAAGGAGCTGGCCCTGGAGAGCAGGGGGACAGCGCACGGGGGGCAGAGGCAGGAAGTTTCTCTAGGGGCAGGTGCCGCACGTGGGGGGCAGCGCGGGGTCACCCTACAGGCCCCGGGGCGCCCCGGGAACAGGCAGCGAGCGGCGCCCCGGGGAGGCCGAGAGGGCCCGTGCGGGTGCCCAGCTCACAGCAGCGGAGAGAGGCCGCCAGGTGCGGGGCTCCAGGTAAAATGCTGCCGCCGCCCTCTCGTCTCACGGCAACAGAAGTTCCGATCGGCTTTAAAACCCGCAGCGCCGCGCACCCCCAGCGGGCAGCCTCCCGGCCAGGCTGGGGAGGGGCGCCCTAGGCACCCAGCAGGAGCCCGGCTCGGGTGCCCAGGAAGGGCAGAAAACTAACGCAGCCGGTAACAAGGCGCCCGCTCCCGAACCCCCCGCTCCCAGGGGCTGCGGAGCGCGGCCAGCAGCGAGCCCCGGAGACCCCCCGAGGCGCGCACGGGTGGCGGGCAGGGGGTTCCCGGGGGGGTGTTATAGTCTCCGATTCAAAGGCCGCCGCGGGTCAGCCCGGGACTCCCCGCCCGGCTCACCTTGGTGTAGAGCTCGGAGACCGACATGTCCTGGCCGGGACCCGGCGCGGGGCGCAGCCGGGGATGGAGGGCGCCGTAAGCCGGGGGGGTTCAGCCCCTGAGCATCCAGCCCAGCCGCGAGGCTGCTAGCGCCGAGGGTCCCGGCTCACACGGGGCCGGGCGACATGGCTCCGGGCCACGGGGCTGCAGGGAGCGTCCTCAAATCTCCGCCCCGGGGCTTCTCCCGCTGCGCAGCCGGACGCGACCTTCGCACCCGCCGCCGCGGCTGAAGTTATTTATCAATCCGAGGAGGAGGCGGGTGGAAGCGGCAGGTCCAGCTCCGCCTCGCACGCCGCTCCCAGCGCAGGTATGGGGAGGTGCGGGGGAGCCCGGAGCCTGCTGGCCCGGGTCGGCAAGCTGCGAAGGGGGGCGAGCCGCGCGCCCAGCCCGGCTCGGCTCCGCTTCTGCTCCCAGGTGCCGCGGGTGGGACTGGGACCGGGACCAGCTGCGTCCACAGCTCCCGGGCGCGCTCTCTCCGCACAGGGCGGGCACCTAGGCGAGGGCCGCCACCTGCTGGTCAGAGCACAGCCCCCTCCTTCCTCCCGAGAGGGCAGGGAGCCCCAGCCAGGCCCTGCGGTGTGTGGCGGTCCCTGCCGCCCCCACAGAGGGAGCCAGCAAAATGGAACGAGTGGGGGAAGTTGCTTGAAATAATGGGGGGAGGTTCAGTTCTTTGCCACGTGAAAAGTTTTGCAGCATAAACCCGTTTGCCATTTCACATGTCGAGGTAGAGTGACCAGAGAGCAAGTGTGAAAAATCGGGACAGGGGGTGGGGGGTAACAGGCACCCATAGAAGACAAAGCCTCAAATATCGGGACTGTCCCTATAAAATCGGGACATCTGGTCACCCTATGTCGAGGTCACGTTTGGATCGCTGAGGTTCACATGGAAGTGGAAGGATTGTCCCTGCCCATAGGTGCTGGAACTAGGGGTGTTGGGGGTGCTGCTGCCCTCCCTGGCTTGAAGGGGTTCCCATCATATACAGGGTTTACAGTTTGGTTCAATGGCTCTCAGCACCCCCACTGTACAAATTGTTCCAGCACCCCCTGCCTGTCCCTGCCTCTGGCAGAGACTGTTCCACCCAAACGCTGCCCACTGCTAAGCCTGTCCTGTGAAGTTCTACCTCCCCAGCAGGGCCGGCTCCAGGGTTTTTGCCACCCCAAGCGGAAAAAAAAAAAACAAGCCTCGATCGGCAGCAGCTCCAGCGCTGCTTTCTTCTTCGGTGGCACTTCAGCAGCAGGTCCTTCCCTCCGAGAGGAACCGAGGGACCCACTGCTGAATTGCTGCTGAAGAACCCGATGTGCCGCCCCTTCCCCTTGGCTGCCCCAAGCACCTGCTTGCTGAGCTGGTGCCTGGAGCCGGCCCTGCTCCCCAGGCACCCAGGCTGTGTTTGGGGAAATTGTTTTTGTTTGTTTCGGGGGTTGGATGGTCCAGTAAATGTTATTGGGAAGGGTTTGGGGGAGGGTTGTTTGGTTTTGATTTTTGTTTTTTTGGTTGAGGGTTGTGGGGTTTGTTTGTTTGTTGTTTTTGTTGTTTTGTTTTTTGCTTGTTTGACACCCCCCCAACCCCCATCATGGAACACCATGGTAAATAGTTGGAAATGAACCAATTTTGTGCCTGGTCTAGCAAATCTTGCAAAAGCTGTTCTAAACAATCTCTGCCTAGAGTGGCTTTTACCACTGCCTCCTAAGCATAGTTCAGTAGACAAAAAGCCTGAACCTGCTCTCTCTTAAAATTAGTGTAAAGAAACCAGGATTAACTACACTAAAATGAGTGATGTTTACAATAGCATAAACTATGGTGAGAGATGAATCAGGGCCTGCTCTTTAGAAAGCACCAGATTGCATCAAATGGCAAGGTTTTTTTTTTTTTTTAAATCCAATGTGGGAAGGATGATACCTGTGAGATGCTGCCTAAATTATCTTTATACCCCCACAGCCCACACAAATTATTCAGTTGAATGTTGCTGATGTGTCAATTTTTTTATACTAATAAACAAGGTAGTAATGTAGTAACTAGCCATCTATTTATATTACAGCCTTTATCATGGTAAATTTGTATCTAAAATGAGCAGGGTTCCTCTGCTGGGTCTAATAAGGTGCATTTGAGGGCTCTAGTATCATTAGCCAGAATGCTCTCTCTTTCATTTTCTCCTTCCATCTCATTTTGAATTTTGTTTATTTTCCCCTGATAACCAACCATTCTAAAAGCAGTATAGGCCCACTGAAAGCTGCCTCTTGGCTGCTTGATTCTATATTGAGCCAGTACTTTTAAGGAAAATTACTTTCCTATCACTGTTTCTTAAAATTACTAAAAAGCGACAAAGAGTCTTGTGGCACCTTATAGACTAACAGACATTTTGACGTCTGTTAGTCTACAAAGTACCACGGGACTCTTTGTCGCTTTTTACAGATCCAGACTAACACGGCTACCCCTCTGATACTTAAAATTACTAGTAAGTGATAAGTCTTTGCCTTTCAGTCTCCTTATCTGAAGATATCCTCTCACAGTTCTCAGTCTTGAGTCTCATGCTCCCAGCACCAGACATGGCTGAACTCCCCTAACTCTGCCTCAAAGGCTTAAAAGTCTTGTGTTAGTGGTAGGGTGACCAGACAGCAAATGTGAAAAATCGGGACAAGGGGTGGGGGTAATAGGAGCCTATATAAGAAAAAGACCCAAAAATTGGAACTGTCCCTATAAAATCGGGACATCTGGTCACTCTAGAGTGGAATTCTGCCCTTTCTCATACTGGGAGCATGAGATCAGAGACTGAGAACCCTGTGATGGCAATCTCTTTAAAGAAACATTGTAATTCCTCCAATATGGCACTGAAATAGTTCAGCAGGAATGGTGTGGGGCTTCTGCCCACTCTGGTGTTGCTGTGCAGTGGTGGCACTGCTCCAGGGTTGATCTCAAGAGATTGAAGGATGGGCCTGTTTCTGACTCACAACGGTAGGTGAGACTAAAACCGGGCCTTCCTTGTTCTGGGAGGCGAATGTCAACAGCAGTACTGGGTGTCAGCCTTGAGCTGCCAAGTAAAATATGTTTTATGGCCCTATACAGGAGTGGCCTGAACTGACTCCACGTGCTTTCATCAGAAGAGCTGAAGTTTTGGTAACAGCATACAGATCTGGGCTCATGGGACAACTGATTCCAACTAATCCTCTTCAGAAACAACACTAAGCCACCTAGCTTGAGAATTGTAATATTCAAGGTGCCACATTCATCCCTGGTATAAGCAAGTGCTACCAGTGGCTCCAATGGAGTTATGCCCACTTACTTTAAGATCGTGTGTGGCCCAAAGGGCTGCTAGGTGTGTCACCATTTTGTCCTGCTGACAGTCAGAGTGCAGCAGTAGCATCCAGAGTTAAAGTTTACTTCCTCTATTAATCCTAAAGGGCATGGCAGGTACTGTAAAATAGGGGAGAGGCTCTCAATGACAATGGAAAGATCTTCCAACTGCCTCCCTGATAAGAGGCCTGTGTAGCATTTCCTTATGGAGGGAGCATGCTCTAGTGGTTAAAGCAGCAGACCTTGGAAGGAGAAGATTGGGGTTTCCAACCCAGCTCTGCTATTGACTCACTATGGGACCTTAATAATAATGATACCTAGCTCTTTTCTAGCACTTCTCATCAGTAGATCTCAAAGCACTTTACAAAAGAAGTCAGTATCATTACTGTTGTTTTACAGTATGGGGAAACTGAGGCACAGATAGGGGACGTAATTGCCCTAGGTCATCCAACAGGTCAGTGGCAGTGCCAAGAAGAGAACCCACCTCTCCCAAGTCCCAGTGCAGTGTTCTATCAATGAGGCTACAGACAAGTGACTTAGTCTTTCTGTGCCTCAGTTCTCCCACCTGTAAAATACAGACACCTTTGTAAAGTGCTTTGAGCTTCTCAGATGACAGGCACTAGTTAAATGAAACTATTAGAACGTACTATTATTTCCTCAGGAAAGGAGCATAGACTACTGGGCGAACAACAATACTGTGAGTCTGCGGTGCTGCTACCAGCTCTTCCACTGACTTGCTGGGTGACCTGGGGCAAGCCACTGAGCTTTTCCATACTTCAATTCCCTTCACTGTAGAATGGGGATAATAAAATGCATCTTGCAGGAGTGTTGTAAGGCTTAATTAATGGGTGGAAAATGCTTTGAGATCCTGGGAAGGAAGATGCTATGGAAGTGTAAAGTATTATTAATTTTCATTGCAAAGACTTTGCATATGGGGACAAATAATGTGCTTATTAGGACTTGTGCTCTGCAACGGTTGTTTACTCCTTCACTAACTGCAGGGAATTTTCTTTAAACCACTGTAGATGGTGTGGTTTGCTGCATTGCCTCAGTATATTGCCTTAATTTAATATATTGACAGTGTCTCACCAGTTTACTGTCTTCTCCCTTAACTCCTCATCCCTTGAGGCAATGTAAATTCCTTTCTTTTCCTTAGCAGCAACACCTCATCCTGTTCTTTAATCCTGCCCTTCGCACAATTGCTGCATCTGAGTAGTATGCAAAGAGCCTTCACAGCATATCCTGATGTTTCAGCAAGGCTGGCAGCTGGGAAAAGTGAGCGCAGTAATGCTGCTGTGAATAAAGTAATGCAGGAGCTTCCCATCCCAAACACGTTCTATCTGGAGCTTTTGTCTGCCCTCTTCTGGGCTGCTTCAGTGTCTGCAGCGCTCTTTATTTTGTCCCACACTTTGAAAGGGATGTGTCAGTGGATGGCACTCTTTGTCCTTCAGCCTTTTGTATTATCCGGCAGGCCCCAGCTGCAAGGAGAAGTGGCCACATACGGAGGCGAAACATGTTTTGAGAACTATGAATTTACATTCCAAAGAAGGGATCACAACACCACACCTCTGGCCAGCCCCTCTCAGAGGTCCAGAGAGCCCGGGCCACTTCCAGCTTGAGGCCCTTAGCCATAATAAAAATAAGAAATGACGACACGTGAAATTAAAAAAAAAAAAAGAGAGACATAATTTGAATATTTCTCTTATTTGCTTAAATTTGCAGCTCTAAGCTGAGAGAGTGTGTCGCATTTTGGTCCGATAGGGGCGCGCATAAAAACAAGTTGCAAAACTAATCAAATGCCAAAAAATTAACAAGTGTCTAAATTTGAGGTCCCTTTTGAGCTTGAGGCCCAGGCCAAATGGCCCTCCTGCCCCCCCCGCCC